ATACATACTTAGACACACACGCATTTTCACATATACTTACGCATACTATCACACACGGACACACACACACATACACACTCACACACACACACACACACACACACACACACACACACACACACACACGCACGCACGCACGCACGCACGCACGCACGCACGCACGCACGCACGCACGCACGCACGCACACACACGCACGCACACACACACACGCACACACACGCGCGCGCGCACGCACGCACGCAAACACACGCGCACACACACCTCACCCACGCGCACCGGGCCGTGCACTGCCGTGCTGTCGTCTAGACGTGGAGTCGCGAGGGACTAGCCTGGCCCTTGCCCCACCACCTCGCGTGTGTGGAGAAGTTTACCTTCCCTTCCCTTAGGCGGCGGGCGCAGCGGCGCAGCGGGCGACACACCAACTGGTGCGCGAGCTGGCGCTGCTGCGGCCGCAGTGGTGCGAGACGCTGCCGCGCGGCGTCGCGCTGTCGAGCGTCTCACGCCTCGCCGAGGCACTCTCAGTGCACTGCACTCTCCCTGCACTCTTCCTGCACTCTCCCAGCACTCTCCCTGCACTCTCCCTGCACTCCACGCTCCCTGAAATCTCCCTGCAATCTCCCAGCACTCTCCCGCCCTGTAACGAGCGCCGCCTCCCTCGCCAAGGCGGTCCTGCGGCCGCTGTACGAGAGCCTGGTCGCCCTCCGCCACATCTCCGAGCGAGACAGCCGCGCGCTGCACAAGGTGCTCCTCTCTCCCCATCTCTCCTCATCTCTCCCCACATCTCCCCATCCCTCCCGCACATCTCCCCACATCTCCCGCGCGCTGCACAAGGTGCTCTCCTTCCTGCTGCCCGCCTGCGAGCAGCTCCTCTCCGCCGCGGCGCGATCCCCCCTCGACGGGCGCTGCGAGCACCTCGTCCCGTCGCTGCGCCGCTGCCGCCAGCTCGGCCGGCTACTTGACGCGCGGCTGGCCGAGGTGGTGGCGTGGTGGGGCGAGGGCGAGCTCGACGCGATCTCGGCGCGCGACCTGCTCGTGCTGCTGCGCGCGATCTGGAACGAGGAGGCGCTCCTCGCCAACGCGCGCGAGATGCACCGCGCCCTCGTGACCGAGGCGGCGCTGTAGATCGACTGTGGACTGCCATCGATGACTGAGAGCCATGCGTGCCGGTTTGGGTGGAGATGCAACCGCGCGATCCATTGACCGATCGACCGAGATACCGCGGCGGCACGTGTGCCCGGAAAACGCGTACAGCTAATCAGCTATTGAAATGAATCAGCTGCTGCTTGAATGTTGAAAGAGAATCTTTGAAGCGAATACTGTATACGGCGATCGTTGGTTGGCCATCGCCATGGTGCTGCAAGCCATACATGGACATCTCTACGCAACATCGGAAGATCCTTGGACTGTAGATCGTAGATGCCTTTTAGAGATCTCTTAAGTGGCAAATCTCCTGCCAAGAGCAGCAGTAGATTGAAGAACTGGTGGAGGCAAATCTTCTCCGGTGTAGATGCTCGAGAGGAGTCTGAGATCTCGAGTTGGTGCGTGCAGTCGCTTGAGATCTTGCGACAGAGGTGGAGATTCTGACTTCGCGCCAAAGGCGCCTAGAGATCGTGTGGGCCGACTGGAGATTGCAAAATGGCGCGAAAAGAGGGTGGAGATCCTTTTGCATTGTGAATGAATCCATAGCGCATCTCCTTGAAGGTTTGAGCCCCCCTCCTCCCCCGGGCCCCCGAATCGAGATTGGGGATTGGAGATTGGAGATGGAGATCGGAGATCTGACTGAATCCGGCCTAAGATGACGACGTTGGAGATTGGAGATTGAAGATGGAGATCGGAGATCTGACTGGATCCGGCCTAAGACGTAGCGACGCTGGAGATTGGAGAGTACTGGAGAGATGGAGATCGGAGAGCTCCCCAAGTC